TAATCATGAGCTGCATGGAATATCATACCATGCAGGTAGGTATTTATCTGGGGGGAAGCAAGGTAGTCCATTTTAGACCTGAGAGAAATTTGAACTCAAGCACTGAAGCATCATCTCACGTTTATGATTCAATGTCTTGAGGAACAGTTAGGAATATTTAGGTTTCTTGTCTTGCAAAAAATTGGTTAGTACATTGGTAGTCCTACAAGTTAAGGATAGATTTTGGGTTTATTTTGTTCCTCCCATCTCTTGCTCTATTATGTTTTCTTCTATCCATTCTCTCAAGCAACATAAAAACTAAAGATGGCCATATTTTGGAAAAATACTTTCATAACATCTTTTAACTTCTTACTTACTCATTGGCTTAAGTCTCTTCCTCTGACACGTCTAATGAATGGAAATTATTATCAAATAATTAAAAGACGACCAATTCAGGGTATGCACAAAATCTTTCATGAATGGTTTCAAACTTGGGTTGAGTACCGCAATTACAAGGTAGGTCTGGTTTCTTGACTGAAAAAAAACGTAGTTCTGGTTTCAGCTATAAGTAGGCTGCTAGACCAAAGTTCATGAGAATATGCTGTCAGGCGGAATAAAATTACACTGAAAACCAATATCTAAGCTCAGGCATGGTTCAAGTTTTGCTAATTACCAACGTTCGAAATACTTGAAATATGAGAGAGAGAGAGAGAGAGAGAGAGAAGGACCCGACCCGCCCAGAGCCGCCTAGCGCCTAGGCGGGCGATTTTTAATATCTTATGAAAACTAATCATATCCAAGTATAACAGTAAGCATAGCTGGCAATTGAGAAAAAATATTGAAGAAGAAAACCTGTTCCTGAAGCATTTTCCAACTCCTGCTTTCAAATCCCAAGTTTTCTAAGATTGTCTCAGCAGCTCAAGGATAAAAGCTAGGGTTTTTTTTGTTGACGACAAGTTTGGTAAATGTGAACTTACCCTTGTGAAGCAATGTGAAGCTGAGAGAGGTACAGAGAGGGTACTGGACGCAAGGCACGCCGTTGAAGCTTTCAACTTGCGAGTCTCTTTCTTCCTACTTCATTTCTTGAGCTCGGTGTCCGTAAACGACTCTCAACGGTGTCGTTCCTTTTAAAGTTTCGCCCTAACATTTCCGGACTATAATTAATTACCAAACCAAACCCGACCCAAATATGCATCAAGCTCATTCGGAGGCCCATTCACAAGTAAAAGCCCGCAGCTTGAATTCCAAGCCTGAAGAAAAAGTATGGACCTGAAGGTTCAGCAGTGAAGGCCTTTCTTGGGTCTTAGTGAGTCCTCTAATTATAATATGTGGGATTGGATTTTCTTTAATTTGAAAGATGGTAAGAGGAAGAGCTGCTGTAATCAATTGCAATGGAATGTCGTTTTTGGTTTTGCTTTGTGGCACATATGGAAAAACCGTTGCGTTGAGGCTTTTGAAGACAATCAGTCCCACACATCTCTTTTCTTGTACCTAGGCTATGTCTATCAAGCTGCCAATGATTGGAGATGTGCCAAGTTAATAACTCTAATAGTAAGGCTGCTAAGATTGAGGTCCTTCTTACTTGGAATTTTCCTCCTGTTGGTTGGTGGAAACTAAATACTAATGGCTGCAGGAAAGGTGAGGAAGGGATTATTGGTGCTGGTGGTTTAATCAGAAATGTCAATGGGGATTGGGTTGGTGGATTCTCTACTAACATTGGGAGGGGGTCTATTTTACAAGATGAATTGTGGGCCACCCTCTATGGCTTGCGGCTTGCTAAACAATCCAACTATTTTCCCCTTAGAGCACCTCCACCCCAAAGAGCAAGGGCAAGTCAAAGACAAGGCAAGGTTTGTTAGTATTCACATGAATAGTGGCAGCCCTTGCCTTTTTTGTTTCCACCCCCAAAAGGCAAGAGCAGGGTCAATTACTATTCACATGAGATATGAGGAGATGAATTTGTATAGAGTTTTTGGTGTGGGAAGTAAAGAATATGGCTAGGTATTTATAAATAATAAAAAATCTGAATTTTTTGGTATTTTTTTCAAACTTTTTTGGTTGCTGACATCATTATGATGTCAGCATTGTGTCATTTTGCCCAGGCAGCAGCTCGGGCAAAATTTGCCTGTGGGCTTGCTTGGGCTCGTGGGACCCAACCCTTGCCCGGGTTGGACCTTGCGCACTAGAGGGTGTTTTGGGGCTTGGGGCTGCCTTTTGCTCGGGCTAGACCCTTGCGCTGGAGGTGGCCTTATTGTGGAGTCCGATTCCTGTTTGGTGGTGGATCTTTTGAATGCACCTAATTGTGATCCTCTTCACCCATTGTTCACTCTTATCTCTAGATGCAAAGCTATCATGACTGGTGGTGTTTGCCGAATTCATCATGTCTTTAGAGAAAACATGGTGTTGCTGATATGCTTGCTTCTATTGGGGTCACCAAGCCTTTGGGTCTCCATAATTCGTTTACTGCTCCTGCTGCTGTGAATCAGTTAATCTTTTTTTATAAATACTTTACAATGACCGAATTTTTAACCGTATTCTTTTATATAAAAAATTTGTCGAATAATAAATGCACATATTTTATTGGGAGATTCACTATTATACCCAATATAGTAGCCCAAATTATTATAAAAAAAACCCTATATAAAATGGACTTTAGAAACATACCTTAAGCGCATATACAACATAACAAAAAGGCTTTTAACTTCATTTAAAGTACAAAACTACCATTAATTTATTAAAACAACCTCAACTTCAAAATCTCATAAAAAAGCTCAAAACACTCAATAGGGCATCAAAGTAATTTAATAATCAAAATTAATTTCAATAGGGCTAGCTGCCATTTATTTGGGTTTGATTATAAAAATTAAATGGTGTAGGGTTTTATCTATAATATTAATGCTAAAAATGAGTATATGACTAAATATCTCTATTTTATTTGTGTTTTTCTACTCCCTATTTTACTAATTGTGGCTTCTGATAAGGAAAGTTTGTATCTAGAAGTTAGTTTTTCTTTGACTCACTACCTGTTGTAGTTGGACTTATTTGAGGACTTTGACTGGAAAATTGAGCACCAAAGTGTGCTGTTTTGAAAAATGTGAGCAAAAGCCATCAACTTTGTAGATTGGCGTTGTTAGTTAGGCAAGTGCAATTTTCAAATATCATCATGGCCTATTTTGAAGTGAAATGGACATAACCTTGTATATTCCTTTTCCAATACATTACCGATATCAACATGTATGGCCTGGAAGCCAACTGGAGTTTTTTTTATATTTTTTTTAAAGTCAACATGTTAGTTAACATCAAGAAAATTGGATCCAAATAATACCACTATTCTTGTCAGTGAGTTCCTAGATTCTAGGTTCAAGTCTATTCTCCCCAATATCGCTTCATTTCTGCTTCAGGAATTAAAACTGAAAATGATGTGTGATAAATAAAAAATATAGATCAATCCCAAACATTTATTGTGTTTATCATCCTAAAAGTCACATTCAATAGGAAAAACTTAGAGGGCTTAATTTACAAACCAAAACAAGTTATCCAAAGGGAGATTAAGGAGTCTTCAAACTGATTACATATGATATATGTTCATGAATAAGTATCTAAAATATCTATCAGGATTATAGGTCACCACCAAACATTGGGTCATGATGCACGGTGGAGAATAGATCATCTTCAAGGCAATGAACATTATTCATGAGAATGCCCAACAGCTGATCTCTGTGTTGTTGCAGCTCCAAGACTTGAGATCTTATTGATTCCAATTGGGATCTGAGTTCTTCAATCATCTTCTGCAAATGGAAAATAGCTCCAGTGCAGCCATAAACAGGGTCTCTGAGCCTTGCTCTTGCTTCATACACTAGAGCTTTCACTGCATCTTCCCTTCTTGTCTCTTCCACCATCTGATTCCAAAATACAATTGCCATATCTTAGCTGATGTTTAATTAATAATAATTCTAACAAAACTCTGTTCTAAGCATATTCAAGTACCACAGAAACTCACCTGAATCATTTTGATCACATTGCTAGCACCAAAAACTTTATGCACACCAGCAAACTTCTCAATCTCCTCACCTGGGAAATATGGTGCAAGTGAGCAATTTCTGTCACATCTTCGGCGTAGCATTCGGCAAGCTGCGCATGGTTGATGAACCCTACTATGCATTGGTACTACTTGGGTGTCCATGTTTTGTTAGTTCAAGGATGGTTCAAAAGAAGCTCTCCAGTTTGTGTATATATATAAGAGAAGAGCTGCTAAAGTTTGCCAAGATGTTGAAAGGAATAATAGGTTGTTAGTTGGGTGCCAAAATTCAAATGTTAAGTGCAAGGAAGGCGGCCACTAGGGGACAGTTTTGAGCTATAATATGAGGGTTGAAAATTGTGAAACCTCACTGTTGGGACAGTGGACCTAACAGTGAACCCCCAATGTGGATTTTTCCGATCATGCAGTTTTGGAGATTAAGTCAGTTTCCAATAAAACAAACCTCATGTTTGGTGATGTTCAACTTTTTGCTGATCAGTTTGTCTTTTCATTAAATTCTGGAAACACACCAAAGACAGCACCATGTGGTAGAAAATTGTGTTTGCACTTACTTGGAGCAAGTTTGATTACCATTTTCCAAAGCTCAATTTCCGTGTGGTTTTGGAGGCTTTTATGACTTCCATTGTGGTTTTTGGACTGCAGCTAGACTACAACCACATATGAAAGTTCCGTGAGCTTTCGTACTTCACACGTGGTAAGCGTCCGAGCAAGGATTTATCTGTAATTTTGAGGCTTCTATTTACGAATAACACGTGTAGCGTCACTCAAGCCAATTAGTTGACAACATATATTATTGGGTGAGGTAGAAGCATGTGTGACTGCTAGAGCCCCAGAATCATTTAAATTACTAATGCAGGGCTTCTATTTCCGATGTGGGATAATACTCTCGACAAATAGTTTGATATGAGGTTTAAATTTCACAATACTTTATTTCCAGAGAGATGAACAAGATACCAAAAACAGTAAGTGCAAACACATGACATTACCGAGAAAAGAGGTTAAATTTCACAAGAGAAGCAATTCCAGGAAACAAGTGAGTGACTAGACAAAGACAGCAAAGTGAAAACCAAGTGGAAATTGAAATAGCATCCATTGGTATCTACAAAATCTGCTAAATAAATAAAACTTGCAGCAGGGGAAAAAAGAGCTGAGGGAGAGAGTCATATTCTTGATCAAGTTTTGTTTCCAAAGCCAGCCCACCTCTTCACTCCTTCCTTCTTCGTCCTTTGGTGGGAGTTGGAACCAAGTAGATTTTCAAGTGATTTTCCTTTTCTGTTCCTAGCCCTTCCTGCTTCTTTCAAAAGATCAGCCAGCCTTTTCTTCTCGTCGTCAAAATCTGGATGTGCCGTCCCAAGCTTCTCTTCCCTTACCTTTAGAATGTGCTCTAGCATCTCAATTGCAGCTTCTACTCTGTAATAAGTAACAGAATTTCATGCTCAATGGAGGAACCAAACTAGAGCATTATAGAACTTAAACATCAATAGTAATAACCCCTAGAGCAGGATTTATCGTAGAATTGAAAATGATTCAATTATAATTTCTAGGTTGAAGACCCCTAGAGAAAGTTAACATTTCATTTCCATTCAACATAGCAGAAAGCACAAACAAAACCCTTACAGCTCACATGAATATCAAAGATCAGTTACCTTCCCATGGCATCATAAGTTGCTGCAAGGTTGCTATATACTCCAAGAGTATCCACATGACAAAGGCCACACTCCTGCTCCAGAATCTCCCTTGCTTCTTCAAAAAGCCGAGCAGCCTCATCTAATTTGTACAACTGCACACTAGCCAATCCCATCTGGTTCAGCACAATACCAAAATGTGCTGATTTCCTCTCCCCACTGGCCCGAAGCTTTGATATAGCACTCTTAAAGGACCTCCAGGCCTCCCCATACCTCCCAACCATGTAGAACATAACACCCATCTGCGCTTCTATTCCTGCAATCGTGCTCCGCTGTGCAGGGGTGTCTTCTAATAACTTCATTGCCTTCTGCAAGAGATTTAGCGCCTCCTCAGGCTCATTGACAGCTTCGTAGATGGCTGAGATTTCCGTCAACCCGCTAGCAATTTCCTCAGATATGATTCCAGGCAAAGGTTTCGCGTATATCCTCAACGCGTTCTCACAGTAGGATTTGGACTCTCTTAGCTTGCCTGTCTTGTAATACAAGTTAGCCAGGCGAATAAAAACTGATGCTACAGAAGGGTGGTTTTCACCCCTTGTGGATTTGAACACTGTAAGTGCTTTCTGGTAGGAAAAAACTGCCTCATCAAAGCGGCAAAGAGACAAGTAAATGTCACCAATGCCCATGTCGATAGCGGCAACCTCATTGTCTTGCCCATTGGCAATCATAATCATGCTTGCAAGAACAAGGTGCTCGAGTGCAGATTCATAATCTCCCTTTGCCTCATAGATGAGAGCCATGAGGCGCCGGTCAGCAGCCTCTTCTACAGACGCAGGTGAGCTATGCTCCTTTCGAATTTCAAGAGTCTTCTTGCAGTAGTTCTCTGCCTCATCAAATTGCATTACTTGGACATGGGCCTCTGCTAGGTACCTGCCATTCATTTCCAATGCCATTTCACACACAATGCAATGCAGTTATGTTAGTGTTTCCAGCACCCTTCCATAATTTTTCGGGTATTTTCACTCATTTTATTTCACCAAAATATTTTTGAAACAATTGAAAGATAGAAATGTAAAAGCCTCAATGATCAAAGAATGAAATGCAGTTACTTTGAAAATACATGAGAAATTACAAATGACTTGTTACATAATCAAAATTTGTAACTAATCAAGTGTGCTCAAAATCCGCCATTGTTTTCAACAAACCTCATCAACCAAATCAATTTTTAATTAGTATTATTAAATTAACAATTTTAGCTAATTATTTTTAAATTAACATTTTTTAGCTAATTATTTTTAAATTAACATTGAGAAACCCGAAGGTGTGAAGACTATATTCAACCCACATCCCAATGCAAATCCACCCAATCCCAAATAATCAGAGAAACATGTGGGCCCAACATTAGTACCAGTCTATCATTTTTCCTACCTACCCAAAAAAAAAAGGCGCATTTTAGCATTATACAGCATCACAAGCTAAAATGAGCCTTTTCAGCTGAGAAAATAGAGCTTATACCTGCAAGTCTCGGCAACTCTCGGATCCAACCCGCCCAGAGTCTCCCTTTGGATCTTCAAACCCGACTCGTAACATAAAATGGACTGCTCAAGCTGTCCCAGCATCGAACACGTGTCACCCAGCTGCATGTACCCGGAGAACTTAGCCAGTGCATGGTCCGGCCCGTTTTCCGGATCCGAGACCTCAATTGCCCGCTCCAAAACCCGAACAGCCTCCTCAAACCTGCCCAAACTGCAGTATATCGCGGCCACAACGTGCAAGCTCATAGCGAGGTCCAGACCCGGACCCGAACACCTCTCGAATGACTTGGAAGCCCGAATGGCGTAGTCCAACGCCTTGTTCGGGCTCTCGCCCGACCCGAAAGTATCCCGGGCGAGCTTTAACAAGAACGGACCCAGATCCGGGTTGTCGAGCGAAGTCTCATCGACGGGTTGGGTTTTTCTGGAGGCTTTCGTTCGTGAGGTGGAAGGTGAAGGGGTTTTGGTACCATTGAAGTGCTCTATTTTACGGGTCGGGTCGGGCACGAAAATGGTCTGGGATGGTGTTTTGGGTGAGGCTAAGCCTAGCATGACTGAGAAGTCAGATACCCAGAATTCAATCTGCTAAATTCAAGCTAAAATTCGATATAATATAAAAAAATCACAACAGAATTGGCAAAACGGAACCAAATACCCGCGCAATTTAACAAATGTGGTGAGAAATCAGCGACGGCAATGACCAATTTAAATTGGGTTTTCTGCTATATTTTGCAGAGAAGCTCATGATAAAGGTGCAGTGTTGGAGAGAGAGAGAGAGAGAGTAATGCGAGAGAGAGAGAGAATGTGTGTGTCGGGTAGAGGAGGGAATTAATGGTGGTGGTGGTGGGGATGGAGGGTTGCGTGGAAGAGACTCGTAATGATGAAGGAATTGTGCTTTAACTTGATGACAAGCTTCAACACGAAAAAGGGGACCAGCAGAGATACGAAATCCATTTTTCAGTATTTTTCTTCTTTTCCACTGCCTTACACGCTGTCCTTCTTTGCTTTGCTTCGTCTGTAATGTTCCCTCTACAGACTGGAGAAAGAAAGAGTTGGAAGGCTGGAAAAACTGATTTGGTTGCTTTGTTGTTAAAGGTCAAAAGTTACAAATGCCACTTGGTGGTTTGCCACATCTGTAAATAAATCTTATTTTCACCTATTGAATTGTGTTTCTAAGTTTTTATTAAAATAATTTCTTTAAGTATTAGTTTTGGCCATTTTGGTCCCAATACGTAATTCAATCCATACGTATTTATTGGACTCAAAATCCGCTCATTATTTAGCTATCCTAACCCGGTGTGTACAATTTCCAGTCAACCCGATCATAGTGGTTTCGGTCGAATAAACTTAAAATTATGCATACTTTTAAGTTTCAATTTTAACTCGCAACATTTAAGAATAGGTTGCATGCGTGGACTCAAAACCCGCAACACTTAACGCTTAAGAATATGACCGTCAACTTATTATAATACGAGTGAAGGCAAAAAGTTTGTATTTCTAACTTTTACGACAAACAGATGAGCGACCAACGAATAAGTTGCATGCGTGGCATGGCATGCATGGCTCCTTGATGTGATGAATAATTCAATGTGGTGTGCAATTTTCCGAAAAGTGTGAGCGTTTACAAGCAGAGCACATGACCCACATGTGAGAGTTGACAATACTTTTAATTTTTTGAAGACTGAAAAACATTACATCCGAAAAAGACTAGGCCCAAAGATAAAGACACAAGGCCCAACCGTATTACAAGCAGAAATAAGCCTTTGTCCCTTTTAAAAAAAACAAGAAGAAATAAGCTCACTAACAGCAGCCCAGACCACAGCAAACCCTAATAACCCCACTTGGGGGTGTACAAGATCCAATTCAATCCAATCCACCTAAATCGACCAATTCAACCCAATTTAATTCAATTTTAATTAGTTTCGAAGATTTAGCGGATTGGATTGAATTCGTAATTTTCAAAACTGGCATAATTGGATCGGATGACAGATTTGCTAATGAGAATCCAATCTAGTTAGTTTGATACTTATTTTGCTTATGTAGGTATTTGTCGTTGAAAATGCTATGAATATTTTAAATCATTTAATGGAGTTATGTTTAATATATTATATAATCAAAATAATTTTCTCTAATATTTCATTTATATTTTACATTTATGTCTATTAATATGTTTGATTATATTAAACATAAGGATAAATGTTTAATATTTCATTATTGTATTGTTTTATTGTCAAAACTGATCATCCAATCCAATCCAATCCAATATCAATTGGATCGGATCAAATCGGATTTAAACATCTAATATGATTGGATTGGATTGAAAAAATCACAATCCAATCTATATTGGATCGGATGTAGATTGACTAAATTGTATTGGTTTCGAATTGATGTACACCCTTAACACTACTATTAGAGCATTTCCACCCCAGCAGCGTAGCTAAGGCAAAACGCCCCCTAGGCCTCAAAATCAGCTCCAAGCGCATAAATCTTGCCATGGCAAGAGATGGGCTCCACCAACCTGGACAAGATGAGCCCAAGCTTCTGTCCGTGTTGTAATGTAAACGCTGACACTAGTTTCACATCGGCTTATGGATTGTGTACCATATAATCTAAATTCAACTTCAATTTAATCGAATTAAAAATTTATCAACCTAGCAACTTATGCTAAACTAGCTAAAGGTGAAATACATGCATATAACAGAATGAAAGATAGTGGGGACCCTTTTTAAATAGAATGAAACAGAGTGACTAATATGAGAAATTTTGGTGTTGTGATAGCTTTGATTGTCATATGAACCTGCAGGTGTTTGTGATAGATTTTGTACCTAGTGGTTTGGCATGCCTCATGAAAAAAAGGCCGAACTAGGTATTGTAAAGAATTTCCTCCTGAAGACTCTCCACCTCCAAGGTTGGGTGAAGACAATTGATAATTTTACAATAGGAGAAGGTGTTCAGCCTGCAAGTTTTAAGGTTCACTTGGATCGATATTGTTAAAAGGAAACTTTAGTTGCAATTAGCTGCACATTTTGGTGGTAGCGAAGAGTTATTCCTGTCGATTCTGAGTTATAGTAAATCATTATACTGATATTATATACCAAATGCACACATGAAAATTTGAATATGTCCTTAAATTAGAAAAAAATAAAACTACATGGATCAAAACTACGAAAGTGAAAATTTCATAAATTACAGGAATAGAAAGTGGCTTTTTGATAATTTATTATAGTTTACATTTCATCCCAAAATTGAGCAACGAAGAATTGTAGGAGATCCCCGTTGGGCTCGTGGGAGCGTTCCCGCGTAGACGAACGGTCAGTAATGCTGATTTCCGAAAATGCCCCCATCGAAATGAAAATATTCCCACCACCCAAACGAGTCCTCGCAGATTCTCTCTTCAATTCCGTTTCTAACTGCCAAACTGAAACCAGCGCCCTCCATGATCCTTTCCTCACTCACACACCCAACTCAACACTCTCTCTATCTTTCTCTCTCTACTTTTGTACGGACACACACACACACACACACACTTTTTCTCTCTACGCTGTGAGATTAATTGAAGAAGGTCTCTCTCTCGCACTCAAAGCGTCAGCTTCTTCCTCTAAAATCTTCTGCATTTTCGTTTCTGTTCACTGATTTTCTAGCTCTGTTTCAAATTTTTTCTCCATTTTGTAGAGAATGGCGAAAACGCTCAAAGATCTCCTCACCGAAACAAAGAAAGCAGAGGAAGCTCTGCCTCTCACTCCAGTGCCGGCGGTGATTGAGAACTCCGCAGACAAGGACGTCTCGCCGGCGAAGCTGAGCCGTTCGCCGATACAAGAAAAGAAGCTTGAAAACTCACAGCTCTCTGTGGAATCTGACTCGTTGTCCAGTGATCCTCAGCCACAAGTCGCTCCGGTATCTGAAGAATCGCCTGAGACAAAGACGGCGGAGAAAGATTCCGAATATTTGAAGAATGAAGGTGCAAATTCGAGTGTGAATTCAACGGATTCCTTACTGTTTGAGAGTTCGAATTCATGCGAGAAAGAAAGTTCGATCACCTCTGATTCAATTCCGACGGAGATGGCGAGCGCCAAGAAGTGTACGGAATCTTTGGAAAATGTCAATGCACCGAGACTGAATGAAATGCGTGAGAAGCCGCCGGAGAAGAAGTCGGCGAAGTTCCAGTGCGACGACAACGTTTCGGATAGTGTGAGCGTGGCGAAGCCAGGGGTGCTGAAGCCGTGTCCAAGTGTGGGAGCGAGCCTTGAGAACTTTGAACTTTGGAAGGTTGAAGGTTCGCCAAAGATGCGATCCAACGGTGGTGGTAGTACGGCAGAGAGCACAGCGATGGTGGAGGAGGCATGGGAGAGACTCAAGAAGTCCTACGTGTACTTCAAAGGCAAGCCGGTGGGCACTCTTGCAGCTATGGATCCAATGGCCGAAGATTTGAACTACAATCAGGTATACCAAACGATTCTCGTTAATTGTTGATTAGTTTTCATATTGCACATATCTCTTTGATCTCTGTTGGTATGAATTGCAATTTAGTTACTGGAATTTGAGTACTTGTTAGTGTTTGTGTCTGTTTGGAGTCATGCATTTAATAATTTGTGGCACAAATTAGCCTATTAGTTCCTCTGCTGATAGATGACATTATACAAATAAGTATCAAAGATTGGGTAGGCAATTGAAGCGCTGTGTACATCAATAACCATTTGGATCTAGGTAAAGCACTGGTATATGAATCCCATGTTAGTGTGAAAGAGATTTGATAAATTAAATTTGATCCAGTGCATTCATGTAATTGATATGTTTTTTTTTTTAATTTTTTTTTTTATAGATTTGATCACTTGGTCATAAGTAGTGTCCCTTATATTGCTTAAATTGTTAGGCATTAAGAATAATAAATAGCGACTAAGATGAGAAATTTATGTGTAGTGAGAGATTTAATTATCATATGAACCTGCAGGTGTTTGTGCGAGATTTTGTACCTAGTGGTTTGGCCTGCCTGATGCAAAAAGAACCTGAACTAGATATTGTAAAGAATTTCCTCCTAAAGACCCTCCACCTCCAAGGTTGGGAGAAGAGGATTGATAATTTTACACTTGGAGAAGGTGTTATGCCTGCAAGTTTTAAGATTCTCTTTGATCAATATCGTGGGAAGGAAACTTTAGTTGCAGATTTTGGTGGCAGCGCAATTGGAAGAGTTGCTCCTGTTGATTCTGGGTTCTGGTGGATCATTTTACTGAGATCATACAACAAATGCACTCGTGACCATACACTGGCAGAGCTTCCTGAGGTGCAGAAGGGAATGAAACTAATTCTCAACCTTTGCTTGTCAGATGGCTTTGACACATTCCCGACACTTCTCTGTGCAGATGGCTGTAGCATGATTGATAGGAGGATGGTGAGTCTTTTCTTTTTTGTTTCTAGGATTCTTGGCATAGTATAATGAGTATGAGTATGGATAAATAATCCAAAAGGCCATATGCATTGTATATGACAAAACATATATACATACGTACTAATACACACATATATGTGTTGAAAGCTTGATTAGGACCTTTTTCTGTGGCAATATAGTTTTGCCACCACCATTTGGGCAGCCAGATAAAACTAGATTGTCATTTTTGCACTTTCATGACGTACATATTGTTTATAAGATTACTTGATACCTGACTTCAAGGGATAACAGAATTAGAGGCTCCAATGAATTGAATTTCACCAACTTTGCTTGCTTTTTGAACAGGGGATTTATGGTTATCCAATTGAGATTCAGTCACTTTTCTACTTTGCATTGAGGTGTGCACGGCAGCTGTTGAAGCCAGAGCTTGGTGGTAAGGAACTTCTTAAGCGGATAGATAAGCGCATCACAGCTCTAAGCTTTCACATTCAGAAGTATTACTGGCTTGATTTTGCACAGCTAAACAATATATACCGCTACAAAACCGAAGAGTATTCCCATACTGCCGTCAACAAGTTTAATGTGATTCCAGAATCCATCCCTGACTGGGTTTTTGATTTCATGCCGTTGAGAGGAGGGTATTTGATTGGCAATGTTAGCCCAGCTCGGATGGACTTCAGGTGGTTTTTAGT